AAAGCAAACAGGTAATGTGGAGGTAAGAAATTCACTCTTTGCCCAAATAACAATATACAGTCATGTTATACATATATAACAATGGCTTACACAAAGTTTAGGAAAACCCTCAAACTTTTACAGAGAAAATGCATAAGTGCAATTTCTTCAGAGTGTAAAGAATTACTTTAAAACTGCTTCAAAGAAAGTCTTCAGCTGTAAGAGGTTTCTAGCACACTCAACATTAGCTACAATACAGAGGAGAATGCTTTTCCATCCTGTTAAATATATATATATTACCTACATTTCCAACGCATGGCAAATAATCCCATCTTCTTTTGTTTGACAAACACCTCTGCTATCAAGCCTAGCTAATGAAATTACATGAATAAAATATATACAATGTAAAATGAAATTGTATATATAGGAATTTCTTGCTAACACAATATGCATATGGTAATTCTCATACAGACAGACAGAGACAGAGTTGGATTTTCTCATATATTTCTGCAAATTTCTAATAGTACAACATGCTTACTGCATGTTCAGTACATGTGTTCTTGTAAAACTCATTTCAGCACGGAAGCACTAGTATTGCTATTTCATAAATGCACATAAATGTTTCAACATAATTTAAAAACTCAGCTCTATGCAATGCTAATATTCTACATGGTCTCATTTTCAAAGAGGCTAAATAACCCTGGGTAACACAAAGAAAATTCACTCTCTCCTTTCCCAATTAATATGAATGTGTCAGGTTATGAACAGTTACCAGACATCAGAAATAACTGTATCAAGCTCTTCTATTTATCCCCTTAGCCTCTACTTCTCTCAGGTGTGACAAATGTGTTAAATGCACAAGCCTCTAAAAGAGTGGAGGATCTTTACAAATCCCTACTGTTTCTAGTACATAAGTGTACTACAAATGCATTTAAATCTCTCTTTGGAAGTGTTCCAAGAAGCACTTAAAACATGTCTGTAGAGGTCCATCAGAGCTGCACAGCAGACTCACATGTTGCAGACTGAGTGCTAACAGCAATGTGGACCATTCTGGCAGGAAACTTCCGTACACCAGTAAAGTTATGCTTTCACTGAATGACACTTCTTCAGAGGATGACCTTCAGCCATATTGGTTTTTACTGTCAATCATAACATTCTCTTCATGGAAGAGAGCATTATCTCCAGCTTTTTTACACATTTATGGCTATCCTTAAAATAAATGCAGAGATGACACAATGCAGATCCTCAATGGTCATCTTCTGCAAGATGGAAACTGTAGACATGAATACTTGTCAAGATGTAAAATCAATACAGAACAACACATCTGATCCACGTGGGTCCCTTCCAACTTCTCTGATTCTATGATCTAGGCAACAGTATTTCAGTCATTGTCATCAGGCAATAAAAGCACTAACAGACTTACGGTCGGTAATGATTGCATCAAACAACGTTCCCTTTCGCCATATTGGTCTTGAAGAATCAGAAACCAGTGCATCGAGGTAGTATTTCTCTAAACCATACTGTCGGAGATTAGCTCTGATATTTTCATCTGGCCCTCTCCATTTCTGGTTTTTCCTGCTTGCCTTGCCTTAGAGAGAGAAGAAACACACATTCTCAACAATGAACTATTTCATCGGATAGCCTTTCATATTGCCTACTATTTATTTTTAAAGGAAAGGAATTAAGAAACTAAAAAACCTAAAAAACCTCCTACCTTACTCTACTCACCATCACAACTATTTGGGTTAAATTTCCTAAGTAAAAAAGCACAATGAAAATACACGAGAAATAGTTAACTTTTAAACATGTTAATTTTGGAACACCACTATCCATCCTACATAGTAAATCCAACAATTTCCACTGAACTTTTTCAGAGTAATAAAAATGGGACTAGACTTGCTGGGTTTGGTTATGAGCAATAAGAAAGCACACAGTGGTTGTCATTACTACTTTGAACTCTGTTTTGATTTTCATTATTCCTTTTATTAAGTATTTCCTGTTTAAAAATTATCAGGATAGCTTAGCTAGGACACACATAAAATGGTCAATAAAAACAAGCATGACCAAATGCTTCATCTGGGCAACCAACAGTCAAAACTCTCACTTTTCAGCCAAATCTTATGGCATCCTCCAATAAGGAAAATGCATCTAGGTCCATAAAAGACAACAGTACTATAAATCATGGTTATATATAGCAGAGGACTGATGTGGAATGTAACTTAATATGTATTTATAATTGCTTCTGAATGAGACATTTCTGATCTGTTCAGGAAAATTGATGATTCCAGTCATTTTCAATTAAATCAATTAAAACCTTGATTTAAGGTTTCCTGATAGGAAGTATGGTTTTGTGTTTTTCAATCAGATGTTTCTATAAAGTAAGGATGAAGGGGGCAGAAAACTAAGACAAAAAATGAATTTTCAAAAAATGAAATGAGGCTCAAACCTTCCAATTGCAAAGTCTTGCACCTGGGTTGTTGCAACTCACACTGTCAATACAAGCTGGAAGATGAAAGGATTGAGTGCAGCCCTGCTGAAAAGATCTGAGGGTACTCGTGGAGGGGAAGCTGAACAAGAGCCAGCAATGTGCCCCTGCAGCTCACAAAGCCAACCACATCCTGGGCTGCATCAAAACAAGTGTGGCCAGCAGGTTTGACGGAGGTGATCCTGCTCCTCTACTCTGCTCTGGTGAGGCCTCACCTGGAGTACTGCATCCAGATGTGGAGTCCTCAGTACAGGAGAGACACAGATCTGTTGGAGCACACATCCAGAGGACCACAAAAATGATCCAAGAGATGGAACACCTCTCCGGCAAGGACAGGCTGAGAGAGCTGCGGCTTCTCAGCCTGGAGAAGAGAAGGTTTTGGGGAGACCCAATAGCTGCCTTTCAGTATTTAAAGGGAGGCTGTGAGAAAGAAGGGGACAGACTCTTTAGCAGAGTCTGTCGTGACAGGACAAGGGGAAATGGCTTCAAGCTTAAGGAGAATAGATTTAGGCTGGATAGAAGGAAAATGTCTTTTACAAGTGAGGGTGGTGAGACACTGGAATGGACTGCCCAGAGAAATGCTTGATGCCTCATTCCTAGAGAATTTCAAGGCAAGGCCAGGTCAGGCCCTGGGCAACCTGGTCTACCTGCACATGTCCCTGTTCATCACAGGGAGTTGGACAGGATGACTTTAGAGGTCCCTTCCATCTCTAAGGATTCTATGATCCTATCAAAAAATTTCTTCTCTGAGAGTGGTTAGCTCTCAGTTAGAATGGACTGCCCAGTGAGGTGACTGAGTCACCATCCCTGAAAGTGTTCAAGAAATATTTAGATGCTGTACTAAGGGACGTGGTTTATTGGGGAAATATCAGTAGTAAGTGGATGGTTGGACCGATGATCTTGGAGGTCTTTTCCAAGCTTGGTGATTCTACGATTCTACGATCCTGTGAAGATGAACACTGATTTTAAATTATCTACCAACATCAGTATTTATAAATTTCAAGGAGTAACATTTCAATGGCTTAGAAACATGTAACGCACCTAATCCATGGATTGTGTTGTAATCTATATCAGTACCACAGACGTACGCTCCAAAGTGTGCTGAGGAGATAAGGAGGCCACCTGTGAATGGGAGAAAAGGGGAAAATTATCACTTACTGTCATTAATGTTATCTGTGCTACAATTTTTTCCAAGGGAATTTTAGGAGCCTGAACAAGTAGTACACTAGACTCAAACCCAATGAATAGTAATAAAATAATGAAAGAAATAAAGAAATAAAAAGAATTAAAGCTACAATCCACTTAGAATCACTGCACAACCACAATCACAGAAAATAACACCAAGTTCCTTGTCTGTTATCACTGATCTTCCTCATCTTGCTACGCCACTCATCACTGGAGACCTTTCTCAGGAGTTTGTAGTTCTCTGCATTTCAAAGCAGTGAGACCCTTTGATCATTCAGGAATCAAAATCATTATTCCTATTCTACAAGTACTTCTAACAAATAACGGAGAAAATGTTACCAAACAGTGTCTTAATCTTAAAGTCAGTCTCCTTCATCATGCCAAAAATTAAACTTGTTGTGTATGTGGCCATTCTTCATGAGGTAGCAATGGTCAGGAACCTCATAAATGTAATTATCTCTGCTGTAAATGTCAGCGTCAAAAAAGTTTTCTTAATTCTTTTACTAATTGAGAATTATATGCAGATACATTGAGTAAATAGCAGCATACAGAAAAAAAAAAAAATACATTTACTAGCTTACTTATCTAACAATGAATCTAATTTACCACCACTACTGGGATCTGCATTTCTAATAAAAAAAAAAAAAGCTAAAAAAAGTTTTTTTTAACAGCTTCCAAATGAAAAAGGGAAGGATGGCAGAAGATTAGCAAAGGCTTGTGTTGTTGTTAATCAGGAAGTATAGAGCTAACATGACAGTTTAAAACTGAACAGTAACCAAGAACCCAGCTGTGAAAATCCTCCTTACTGATATCAACTGCTTATAGGTAGAAACAGTTCCACTAAAATGAGGGGGAAAACTTCTGCAAAACAAGAGGCCACCGGCACCAGAAACACACAAACTGCCTGTGTGGATGATACCAACTCTTGCATTCACTGGCAACCTGAAAAGGAGCATCTCAGGCAGCTACACTGCCCCGTGCCAATTGCTCAGCACAGACAAATCTTGAACACATATTGTATGTGCAGGTTGAAGGTCCCATCCCGGGGCACTAGAAAATTCTAGAAAATATTGTATGCTCATAAACTCTACCAAAACTGAAGGCGAGGGACAAAAAAATAATAAAAATCTGCTTTTTCTTGTGAAATGGATCAGGGAAAAGCAAGGTTACTCACCCCATAAGAGTCACCCATTCCCCTCGGCTGTAATCGCTCAGAACAGATGGGCAGTACCTCCAGGGGGTCAAGACAAATTTAGCTATCCCTGACCCCAAGTAGGGCATACCACCCAGTCCTACAAAAAAAGTAAGAAGAAAGTACTTCGCCCATCTAAGAGTATTTTTAATCACAGGCAAAAAAAAAAAAGAAAAAAAAAAAAAGGAAAGTATGAACCTAGAGCTTTTAGATCACAGCCAGTACTAGCTAAATTGTGTTTACAAAGAAGGTGCACAGATATTTAAATAGTCTATATGGTCTGCCCTTTGACCTATCCTACATTAGATAGATGTATATAAAGGATTAAACAGAAAATCATTGCATCCAGTGATGACTACTAAGAGAATGACAGTGGCAACAGGCCTTCCATCACAGTGTCTATTTTTCCTACCTTCAGAGCACAGATGAGGGTCTGGGCATATCACTGTCCCCCACAATGTCAAACTGGCAATTCTTGCAATCTCTTGCAATTATACAGCATCATGAATTGGCAAAGGAAAACGAGGGACAAACACCTTCCAAAGGTACAAGCAATAAGCTAAGTGAGTTAACAACAACTGCCTAGGAGGACAATATAAAGTATTCAGATAAAAAGACTGTCTTTTCCTTGAGGTTTCATTTTACCCAACACTGAGAAAAAAATGTATCTGAAAAGTTTATGGAACTTACATTCTGGAAATCTATCATTTCAATTCTGCTTCACTAAGGGGAAAAAAAGAAAAAAGGAATAAAAGCAGCACAATTCTAAGCACTTTATCTTCCACAGACAAATGGAATTTGTCCACTATTACACTAATTTGGAAGATCTATGATTTGGTTCGTTCAGCAAAAGCAGTTTGCTTCCAACAGTCAAGCACCATTTTGCAAGGCTGGTAATATTCCATAATATTTATCTTTTCAGCATTAAAAAACTGGGAAAAAAAAATCAAGGTAGGTGTTGAAGTTGCACCATGAAATAAATCTGAATTACATGTTTTTCAAAGCACTGCTCAAGTCCTGAAGATATGTTCCTTCCAAACCCATCAGCTGACATTCACTGCATCACTCACAAATATCTCCCTATATTCCAGTGATAATCCTATAAAGGCCAGAAGAGACTACTGCAATTCCTGAGTCTTACTCACCAAGAGTAGGTGCAAAGGAAAAGCCACTGTTTGGTCACAAATAAAGCTTACCAACAAATATAGCATTACCTATCAACTCCAGTGTTCCTATGTACAGTAATCACAAGGCCATACATTTAAAGTGCCTAGTGCAATAAGAACTTAAAATCTGTAATTCAAATAATTGGGCAATTCACAGAGAATGTCATGTATGTTATATTTTTGGACTGAACCATTTAAGTCTTAACACTTCTTTACATCATCTATTAACAATTCTTTACACATCTTTAATTTTTATAGCTTCACCATTTCTATGTGATTTTTTTCCTCTAACTTTACTCTTTTTTGTTACTATATTTTCATTTTCAAGAGAATGAATGCTCTGAGATTTATTTTTTTTTTGTGATGTTGCTTTAGAGAATAAAGAAACAAAACTGACAACAAAGAGAAACAAACTGCTCACGGGGGAACAAGAGGAATTTTCTCAACCTTTCAAAGACTACAACTTATACATGAGCAGAAGGAAGATGAGTAAGTTTCATAAAAAATAATAATGCATGCAAAAAAATCAAGTAATATACAAACACAAATATTAAAGACAAAAACATACTTTACTAAAGTCTTATGTTTCTGAAAATACAGCATTCTGGATGTATTTTCTATGGTACAGCCATATGCAGATAAGAATTTGTCCTACTAGTGATGCTCTATTGTTGCCTTCACACTTCCTAACTCTTTGTAATGATTTGTGCTCTGAACTCTCTTCATTCTCTCACTAATGTAAGCATTTTTCTTGTTTTCAGCTCACAATCCAGTACCACTGATCTTCTATTTCAATTACAAAATAGTAGTTTCCCTTAGATGAGAGGCACCACTACACCGTGCACTTTATTGTGTGGAATAAAAGCTCCCCCTCCTGGTTTAACCAGGAAAATTCTCAGTTGGGGAGAACACGTGGTATGCACTATGCTGTCCTAAAGGGAAGATGTAACAGCACAAGGAACCGATCGCTACTGAGGGCTATGACCCAATGACCACTCCCTGGTGTTACATGCTCAGAAGTGTCCCCAAACTTCTCTAAATAGACGCCTCCAAAAATGCTGCTCCACATAACATTTTGAAAATGGCTGAAGGCAAGGTTCAGTTCTTTGGATTTTAAGCAGTCCATAATACACATGAACTGGAGTTTAAATCATGTTACGTTCAGAAAGAAACAAAAAAGAAACACCCTAGTTAAGACAGTATATCTTACACTTCTGAGAAGTCTGTTTAAATCTTCTGAAGTTGGCCTCCTCCCTAAATCCCTCTCAAGATTCATTTTACAACAATCATTTTGCTGTAGGTATGATCTCAAATCTCAGTCAGGCACTTGAGGTTGCTGTATGAAGTATATGAGCAGTGCAAGCAGTAACACAAATCCTCAGTTTTTTTCTTCAGTATTTTCCTCAGTAGAAAAATAAACAAACATACCTGTTCCAACAAATGGATCATATACAATATCATTGGGTTTTACTCTCCCATGGTTTGCCATGATGAATGACAGACAGGCATCCATGCTTGTATTTCCAATAAAGTGTCTCTTTTTTACACTGTAGGACTCAATAAGTTCTCTTTGGCCATCTGCAATCTGTTGAAAGAATTGAAATCACTGTCAGTTCTCAGATACAAGAGATAAGAAGACTAATAGATTTGCTTAAGTAACACTATGCAACAAATGGTGAACTCCTCATTTTATAACACATCGGTCTGCTTCCTGCCTTCTGCAAGTATGAATGATTTCTTTCCAAGTAATAGAAATCTTGATGCAATAACTGATAAATACTTCAAGATAAAGATGAAAAGCATGTAATCAGCTTAGAGTGAAATTTCTTCTTAAAGAAATAAGAAATAGAGCAACTTTGCTACTATTCTAGATATCAAAATAACAATTCCTGGCAATTCAGAGTTAAAAGAATTCCCAAGTAATAAGAAGGACATGTCAACAAGCGTTGAACATAGCCAAATGTCGAATAAAGTTCCATCTCCACTGGCTTTTCTGTCACACTCAAAATCTAAATTGAGGATAGCATTAACAGATAAGAATTCACTGGAAAAACAAAGCCCAAAGACTAACATTTTTTCCATCGCTCTTCCAAAATACAATGAAGATTACCAAAGCGGTCTGGAACAGAACATGTTCAAAAGCTCTTCCAATACAATTCTTCTTCCATTAAGGCTCAATACAACTTCTCCATTTCAAATTGAAGGACACTTTGCTGAACAGAGAAGTCCTAAAATGGAAGTAACTGTACTTACGCACCCATCTACCAAAATACAGATCACAAGGTTCTTCTGGGACATTGTTAGGGTCCGTTCCATAATCTTCCAAAATCCAGAAGATGTGTTCCGGATTCTTTAGATTTACCTTTCCATTGAAGGGCAGAAATTCAAGAGCCTGGATGATAAAGAAAGAAAAAGAGTCAAATTTTTGAAATACGCACCCTACAAAAAAAAAAAACAAATACAAACAACCAACCACAAGCCAACAAGAAAAAACACAGCAACAGCCACCGAACCAAAAGGCACTCTGCAATTCTGTCTGTGAGAAATAACAGGTTATTACTAAAAGTACATTCTGGCATTCCCTTGATTTCTAAAATGCCTTTTTTTGTGAACACAGATGGCTCAAATGAGTGAGGAATAAAAATTAGAAGCATGAGATTTGTTATTAATTGAAGAAGGCGCAACTTTAGAGGAAAAGAACTGTGCACGCTAAATACGTAATTTGCGAGTTATGAAAACAATACTTCTGACAGACAGTAAGATATAAAATTTCAATGATGTGCAACTATACCAATTTAAATTGAGAGCAGCCCTGCAGAGAAGGACCTGGGGGTCCTGGTGGATGAAAAATTTAATATGAGCCAGCAGTGTGCTCTTGCAGCTCAGAAGGCCAACGATAACCTGGGCTCCATCAGAAGAGCGGTGGCCAGCAGGGACAGGGAGGTGATTGTTCTCCTCTACTCTGCCCTTATGAGGCCCCATCTGGAGTACTGCGTCCAGGTCTGGAGCCCCCAGTACAAGAAAGACAAGGAGCTGTTGGAGAGGGTCCAGAGGAAAGCCACAAAAATGATCAGAGGGCTGGAGCACCTTCTCTATGAAGACAGGCTGAGGGAGCTGAGCTTGTTCAGCATGGAGAAAAAAAGGTTGCAGCATGACCTAACTACACCCTTCCAGTACCTAAAGGGAGTCTACAAACAGGAGGAAAGTCAACTCTTTGAAAGCATTGATAACTACAGGACAAAGGAAAATGGTTGTAAGTTGAGGGGGAGAAGATTTAGGTTGGATGTCATGGGGAAGTTCTTTACAGAGAGAGTGGTGAGGTGCTGGAACAGGCTGCCCAGAGAGGTTGTGGATGCCCCGTCCCTGGAGGTGTTCAAGGCCAGATTGGATGGGGCCCTGGGCAGCCTGGTCTGGTATTAAATGGGGAGGTTGGTGGCCCTGCATGTGGCAGGGGGGTTGGAGATTCATTCATTGGGCAGAACAGAAAACTGTGGCAAACAATCCACAGCTTGCAACTAAAGTCATGGAACTGGCTTGTACCATATTCTACAACAATAGAAGTCTAATACTGAGAACAAGTAAAGGATTTTCTTAAAACTATCATCTAGCTCTACCACATAAATCTTGGAGTTCTGGGCCACACATCTACATTTCTGCATCTGTGAAATCAGCATCTGTGAAATCAACATGGCCTGTTTAGAAAAAAAAATAAATCACAAGGTCAGGAATTTCATGGGAGTATTAAGCCAGACACAAAGATCTCATTTAGAGTTGACGAGACACAAGCTGTTAACTGCTTTAAAAGAAAATTTAAGATTTTCTTCAGAAAATCTAAACTTCAATATATCTTAGCCAACACTGATAACATGGCATAAGAACAACATCAGCAGATTAAAATAAAGGTTGAAGATCTCAAACATCTACTTACATCTATTTTTTTTATCTTCTGTGCTTGGGTCAGTGTCTTATTAAATGTATGAATATGTATTTTGTATGTCGAGTCTGGCTGGAGATAAGGAAGCTGAAAAAAGGCAAAGACTGTCATTAGTACAGCTGCAGCATTAATCCCTGTGATGAAAGAAACATGGTTTCCAAATTCTTTACATGCATACCATCTTGTCCACTGGGTAGCTCTTCAAGGAGGCATAGAGTTCCCCCGCAGATCTGCCGTGACCCCACAGCTCAAATATAGACCTGAAAAATACCAATATTTTTAGAGTGCAGCAAGATGGGGAGACTGTAAGATGTCTTAGAGACACTTACCCCTTCCCACCAGTCCTTCTTGGCCAGCATACTTATGCTTCATGGGATAATAAAGGATGTTACCTACGTCTTAGAGTATGCTTAAGTTTTGTTCTACCCACTGGAAACATACTGTCACAAAGGACCATTTTGTATGCATGGACTTTCTTGTCCTGTACTATGTTTCTGAGTCATCTCTCACGACTCATGGGAAAATGTGTTATTCAGATCCCTCAAAAATAGCCAAAAGCAGCAGAAACAACCAATCTCTGGTATACTCCTTTGCTCTGGAGTTTTGTAGGAGGAGCTGGGCTAAAGGCTCACATACAAGCTGTAGGAAGGTGACACAAGAAATATGTATCATACCACTCCCTTCTAAATTTGATTTTCAATTTTTATCTATCACTGTTCTCATCTTTAATTCCATTTATATTTTAAATTAAGCCACTAACTAAACAGTATTCAAGTCAACTAAGAAATCAGCAGCAGTATGAGATGAGCACTGGCTCTGCAGTGAAGATCTGTTTCAAGACATGATGCTGATCATACATTAAGTAAAGAGAACAAGCATGCTACATAATCAGTCCCGATTTCTAGAGGTAAGCAGTGACTGTTCATTATAACACAATCACAGAATTGTAGGGGTTGGAAGCGACCTCTAGAGATCAAGTCCAGCTCCCCCACAAAGCAGGCCCCTTACAACAGGCTGCACAGGTAGGTGTCCCAGCAGGTCCTGAATATTTCCAGAGAAGGAGAATCCACAACCTCCCTGGGCAGCCTGTTCCAGAGCTCCGTCACCCTCACTGTGCAGAAATTCCTTCACGTACTGGTGTGGAACTTCCTGTGCTCCAGTTTATGGCTGTTTCCCCTTGTCCTGTCCCCACAGACCGCTGAAAAGAGGTTGGCAATGTTCCTTTGACTTCCACACTTAAAATATTTATAAACATTAATAAGATCCCCTCTCAGTCTTCTTTTCTCAATGCTGAACAGACCCGAGTCACCCAGCCTTTCCTCATAGGGAAGATTTCTCCATACAAAATCAGTAGTTACCACCATACACCGATACAAATTTTCAGTCTACATCATCATTTTCAAGATTTTTCACCGCTTACTTTGCACATACTGTCCGTTTCATCAGCCCCCTTGCCATCTCTTCTGAAGGAATATTGAGAATCCAAAATGGAGACTGAAATGAAAAGATGGGAGACAAGAAATGCAGACACTTAGATGGAGGACGTTACAGGAATTACACCATCAAACAATTCTGCACTATCAAAACAGAAAAGGCATGCTAAACAAAAACAAGAAGAAAAGAAAGAAAAAAGGAGAAAAGAAAGACAGAAAACGCAAACTGTACAGAGAATACGAGGATAAAACATTTAATTTTAAGGAAAACTTAAATTACATTATGTTTGTCTAGGTTATTCAGATTCTAAAGAATTAGAATACTTAGTTACACACAGCTAAAATCTAAGTAACGTTTGCTGACTAAGCCTTGAAATTAGAAATATGTATCTCCTGGGCTCATTGCTTTGGATACACTGTCTCACTGAACCAGATGTAAACATTAAATTCACATGGCTACAGAACTTTTCCCCTGTTCAGTTATTCCGAAAAGAAACAAGCTTCCCAGTAGATGGCACAATTTCTTCTTATATAGTTAAATGAAGACATCCCAATGTGCACTTTGTGCAGTTTTTCTGAATTAAAAATCTTAACTGCAATTGAAAATTATTCATTTTTGGAAGGTATCTTATTTTCCTAATAAACTTCAGAATGTATTCCGTCACCCTCTTTCAATAAAAATACCACAGACAGCATATTTGTATGCTACACGTACACTTTAAGAAAATATCTGATGCTCACTTACATTTACACGGACTTCCTGCTGACTGCTAAACTGTCCACCACAAAGTGAGAGCAAAGATGCTATTTCCTAAAGAGAAAATATAAAGGTCAGGCTCTAGGAGTATTTACTAATTTATTTATTTTTTTTTAAAAAGGAGACCTTATTCTAATGCAAATTGTGACCTCTATATGGAATACAAATGAAATTTTAGAATTAGCCAAAGAAGAAAGAACAGCATTTATTATGAGAACCACCAATGAAAAACTCTTAGCAGCTAGGGCAGAGGTTTACAACTACATTCTGCTTGTAGTCAGCACGGATGGATGAGC